AGAAAAAGAGGAAGAGAGGTGAGAGAGAGACAACCGAACTTTACTTATGAAAAGGTGTTAATTATGTCAATGGAAGAGATAGGAAGCTGCATTAGTGATATATATGTCAATGCATTGATTTGTACATAAAATGTTTAGCTTAAAGAAGTTATAAGGAATCACAAATATGTAAGTTAAAAGTGTGGAAAATGTAATGTACATGTGGATGACTCTTGGCATGAGTTGCATTGGGAAAATAAAAAATCTATAATAATAATTTAAAAAAGGAAATGATTCCCCAAAGAGGTAAAAGGCAACACTTTGCTAGAGATCTTCTTTGCTTCCAATCTGTTGAGGAAGGAGATTGGACTCCGTTGTCTATATTTCCCTTTCCATCCCCATGGTTCCTTAGTGAAAATTACAACCCAAGAACATATAGATCTGTTAAAATGTTCCCATTCTCACTTTCCATATTGGGAATCCCTAGGTACCATGCAATAATCTCATCAAATAATTCAAGCAAATGTTGGTGCTTTTACACCAATGCAAACAATGTGCCAACAATGGCACATTTGTAAAACGAACCTTTATTTAATTGGCCATCTCATCCTGCTTCAGAATCCCAAAGGTGCTCTTTGTGCCTGGCTCCCAGCTGGTGTTCCTTCTCAGCAGCTTCTGCAGCTTCCACCATGGCTTGGGAAGGTGAGTAGATGGTCTCGACATAGATCCCCAATCTGTCATCTACGGCTCCCCCTGTGGGCTTCTTCTCTTCCTCCATCTTCCCTGAGTCTTCGCGCTGCGATGCTGGGGCTCAGGACCCCGGACAGCACCTCAAGGTTTGGGGTAGCTGATAAAGTATTTTTAAAGGGAGATTTGGGTTAATGTCTGGGATCCAAAAAACACCCCCAACAAAATAAAACCTCGAGGCTTAATTTTTCCTCAAAGTTCCACTTCATTAGAGATGTCGTGTTGACACATCTGGGAAAATCTGAATCTGAAAGCTTCCAGATTTTCCCACCCAGTTGAAATGTTGGATGCAGGAACAAAAACAGGCATTTGAGATTTTAAAGTTAGTATTGTCTCAAGCTCCTGTTGTGGGACTTCCCAATCTCGAGAAACCTTTCAATTTATATATGTGGACTCGAAGAGTAATATAGTGCTTGACCTCCTGACTCAAGAAAAGGGACGTTCGCAACAATCCATAGCTAAACTTGATGGAGCAGCAAAGGGATGGCCACATTGCCTTAAAACCCTGGCCGCCACTGCTCTTCTGATTGAGGAAGCTAATAAATTGACTTCTGGACAACTAATTACCAGACATACCAGCCATGCAATTCATGGAGCATTAGAAACAAAGGGAAATTTATAGATAACTAACTCCAGGATTTATAAGTATCAGGTTCTCCTCACTCAAAATCCTCAAGTGACACTGAAACAGAGAAATGCCCTAAATCCGGCCACCCTCTGGCCTATCCCAGGTCCTGAAGTTGAACATAACTGAAAGTCAACTAGGGGCCTCATGGGTGAGTCATTTTCCAAAGCACCTGCAGCCCAGACAAGGGAACGACGGACGGAAACTGACCAAGGAGGAATTTTCCTGAGAGTGAGAACAATCAGCCGATATGGAAGAGAAGAAGTTGCCTCCGGGAGTCGTGGGAGCTCCGTCATCCCTTGAGACTTTCAAAGAGGCTGGGCTGACGTCTGTCAGAAATGACGTAGGATCTCCTGCTTGAGTGGGGGGAGGGTTGGGCTAGATGACCTTTAAGGTCCCTTCCAACTCTGTTAAATCTGTTAAACGAAAGGCCGGCCCCAGTTGACGCTTTACGGCCTCAGGGAGAACGTTCCTAAAGACGACGGCGGCGGCTCTCCAGCAACGGAAGAGAACGAGCTGCTCGCTGGAGAAGCTGCCCGCCCCCCCCCCCCCGCCCACTCTTTTCCCACTTCGCGGTCAGAGCCAAAAGGGAACTCGGGACACCCGCAGGCGCCCCAAAGAGACCCCCGTGCCAGGCCAGGGAGAC